TACAGTTATTTGTAAATATGAAAATACAACGGACTGGCAGATTGAAACTTTGAGGCTATTCATTCCTTACTTCAAAAACATTCTGGTTCCTTAACCTGCACAAACTTTCCTAAAGGCTCTCAACAGTCATTGTACATGGAAATTACTCCATAACATCTACACAGAGCAGAGCTTAATATCTGTACTTATTAAGAGTGTCTTGCGGGCCCCTTGGTAAACAGTCTCCATGATGTAGATAATCTCCTGCTTATCCTCCGTGGCCCAATTGATCTTATTATTGTTGGTGCCCAAATCAATCATTATGTGCTTGTTCCTGAGGAAAAACATGACAGTGCAAGGATTGTATAACGCACAAGTTTTGTTGAAGCCAGGTACTTCTGTAATATCCACAAGATAAATTAACTGCAAAATTTTTAACACTGACGCCCAGAGTCCGTGTCCTAGCTAACAGTATCTTGCTGAGTTCTGCTCTGATCTGGAGCCTAACTCCTCTCTAGCCTCCTAGCCTTGCAGTGATAGAGGGGTCTGGGCATCACTCCATGCTTATGCCACCACCTTTTCAGCTATGCTATAGAGAACCTCATTCATTTTCATACAAGTAGGATCCCAATCGTGTCCAAACCGAATGACCACGACGCAGTCCTCCTCTGACAGGATGGCCTGGTCCACCGGCCAGCCATTGTGTAGATGTGTGGAAGCATGTAAGACATCTTGGAAACGTGACTGTATCTGACAGAGCCCCACTCACCAGTCACTATTGTCTTATATCGAGGACCCTGCATCCAGAGGGAGGCCCCGCAGCCTACCCACCAGCCTCCGACATGAGTGTGCACGTGCGCGCGCTCACACGCATGCCAAAGCTAGATTTTTATGATATGCTAGATAATGCAGGAGTGGGGGTGGGGTGGGTTCTAATTTTTGTAAAGATGCTAGAATGTTTAATTACTAGCCAAGGAAAAATTTAGCATGACAAGTTGTGGAAATAAGGTTTTAAGATGCCGTTTAAATAAAAATATACACAAAAGGAGCTCTGGCTGCTTAGTGGAAAAAGAGTTGCGCTGCCAATCCAAAGGCATGAGGTTTGAATCCACCAGCTGCTCTGTGGGAAAAGGATGGGCAATCTTCTCCGACGTGATTAACTGCCTCTGAAAACCTACCAGAAGCTCAGCTATGAGTTGGTTCTGAGTCTACAGTACATAACAACAACATTGGTACTAGTGATATTTTGGGTGGGGTAATTTGTGTGGTAGTGAGCTGCTCTATGCATTTTGTAGAATGTTTAGGAGCACTCCTGGCTACTACCCACTAAATACCAAAAGCAGCCTCCTATTTCTATCAAAAAAGTGTGCCCATGACAGCAAGTAATAAATGTTGGAGAGGATGTGGCAAGATAGGAACTTTTACACATTGTTGGTGAGATTGTAAAATGGTACGAATCCCGAAGGCATTTTGGCACTTCCTCAAAAAGCTGAACATAGAAATAAATTCCATATGACCGAACTATTGTACTGCTTGGAATATATCCCAGCAAAACAAGAACTAAAGTGAAGATGTGTACACTCATGTTCACAGCAGCATTATTGACCATGGCAAGCCCATGGCAACAATCCACATGTCTAACTACCATCAAATGAACTGAGAAATCATGGAACAGTCACACGATGGAATATTATGCAGCATTACTACCTAAATTGGGAGGGATTAAATTTGGAGAGCAGTATGCTAAGTGAACTAACTCAGTCTCATAAGGACAAATACTGCGTAAGACTATTATGGTAGAACTTGTAGGAGGGTCCAAGGAGAGGAGGGTGGGAGCAGAGGTGTGAAGATGGGGGTGGTGGTTAATCATAGCGTTGTACAATTTGATAGATGGAGGGAAATATGGGTAAAGAAAACAGGAAAGATCCAGTGTGAAAAACAATGTATATAAACTATAAGTAAACCAGTATAAAATAAAAATTTTATTTAAATAAATTTTTTTAAAGTGTGTTCAGACACTTTATTAAAGAGTAGAACCTATAAATACCATATGATTTAGCAATCTCACTACTAAGTATGTATCTTGAAAAAATAAAGAGCTGTGCCACAAACAAATCTATGTATGGTTATGTCCATTTAAGCATTATTTGCAATGGGATAGAAACAATTCAAGTGTCCAACAACAGATGAATAGGTAAAGAAACCACTGCTCATTCACACACTATAGTATTAAAGAGCATTAAAAAACAGTAAAGAATTTGTGAAGTACTACCTAACAGGGATGATTCCAGAGGGCATTATACTGAGTATACAAAGTTAGAAAAGGACAAACTCGGTTTACTACTACTATTATTAAAAAAACAAAAGAAAGGTTATAAACAGAATCATTTTTTTATGGTTACCAGGGATGAGAAGAAGAAAATTTAACAAGTAGATAATAGATTCTTATTAAGGTACCCACCTTAATAAGGAAGGGAACTTTGTCTGAAAGTGATCAGATACTGTGGGTCTTGTAATAAATGTTATGAAACAAAATGATTGTGAATGCATTAATAAAAAGCCAATATACTTTGTAAACTTCCACTCAAACAATAAACAATGTTTTAAAACAATGTGTTCAGGTGCAACTTAGGATTTGCTGTGAAGTTAAAAGCTAAGCTATCGAAATGTCAAATGTTAGTAGGTATTGATCCATCCATGATGAACAGGTTTCAGTGGCACTTCCACACTAAGAAAACTAGGAAGAAAATCCTGGTGATTTAAATAAGCCAATGAAAACTCTTTGGGTTATAACATAATATTGGCTGCTTGAGTGACAGAAAATGAGCTTGCTAGAGTGGAAGGTACTGAAACTACAGAGTGACCAAACAATGAGCCTGAGTAGGCCAGATTTTGAAAATGCAACAGGACTGGACAATGTTTTTTGTTCTGTTATGTAGGCGAACTACGAGTCAGAGACTCCACAGCAAACAATCAAATACACGTTGTTGTTGTTGTTAGATGCCGTCAAGTACAACTCTTAGCAACCTTATGAACAAAAGGTCTGAACCCTGTTCTATCCTGCACCATGCTCACACTTCCTGACACTTAAGAGCCCACTGCAGCAGTCACCATGTCCAATCCACCTGTTTGAGTATCTTCTTCTCCTCCACCAACGCTCTACCCTTACCAACATCATGTCCCTTGCTCCAAGGAATAACTCCTCCTAGAAACACGCCCAAAGTATGAGAGGTGAAGCGCCTAATCACTCTTGCCTCCAAAGAGCACTCTAGCTGCCCCCTCTCTAAGACATATCTATTCGTTTTCTTGGCTGTCCATGGGATGTTAAGTGCTCTTCTCCAACATCACAGTTCAAAGGCTTCAATTCTTTTCCTGTTATCCTTATTCATTGTCCGGCTCTCAGATGTACAGCAAGTAATTGGAAAGACCATGGTCTTAATCATATGCACCATAGTCCTCAAACTGACATAATTACTCCTCAATAATTTAAAGAGGTCCCTAACTGCAGATTTTTCCAGTGCAATATATCTCCTTATTTCCTGACTGCTGGTATGAAGGCTGTTTATTGTGGATCCAAGCAACATGTAACTGCTGACAGTTTCAATCTCCTCTCTATCCATTATGATGCTGCTTATCTATATGGTAGTAAGAATCTTTATTTTCTTGACATTGGGATGCAATCCATATTGAAGGCCACATTCTTTGATCTTCTGGAACGAGTGCTTCAAGTCCTTTTCACTTTCAGCAAGCAAGATTGTGTCATTTGCATAATACAGGTTATTGATGAGCTTCTCTCCAATCCTGATGTCACACTCATCCTTACGAAGTCCAGCTTCTCAGATAATTTACTCAGCATACAGACTGAATAGGTATGGAGAGAGAATACAAGCCTAGACGCTGCCTTCCCAATTCCAAACCATGCAGAGCTCCCTTGCTCTGTTTGCACAACAGCCTCCTGATCCAAAGCCAGGTTTTGAATAAGCATAATTAAGTGCGTTGAGATTCTCATTCTTCTCAATGTCAGCCACAACTTGTTATGATCCACACAGTCAAATGTCTTTGCACAGTCAATAAAGCACAAATAGACATTTTCCTGGTACTCCTCATTTTCAGCCAGGACCCATCTGACATTAGCAATGATATGGCTGGTGCCAGAGCCTCTTCTAAATCCTGCTTGAACCTCTATCAGTTCCCTATCTAAGTACTGTTTCAGCCATTTTTCAATGATCTCCAGCAGTACTTTGCTTGCATGTATTATCAATTAAATTGTTCGACAGATCACCTTTTTTGGGAATGGGAACAAATGTTATTTAGGAACAAAATACACCCAGGTGTAATATCACTCATTTAAATATCTAAATCTATCTATAGAGCACTAGAATTAATTGTGAAAAAGTTGGAATTATAATTCAAGTATATAATATTGCTAGTACTAAATTAATTATTCTCATTTTTTGTTTAGGACAGAGCTATTGAACATAGTAGTCACTGAAATGTGTTAAGTCTGAGTTAAGATGTATGGTACTTATAAAGCACATACTAGATTTTTAAATAAACCTTTTTATACATAAAAAGGATATAAAATATATTCTTAATGATATACTGATTATATGTTAGGATCATAGTAACTTTTATATAATCACAGTTGTTGGGTTATGTACCATAGAGTCGGAATCGACCCATAGTTGACCTTCTGGCAGGTTTTCAGAGGCAATTAATCACATGGACAGAGACTGTTCATCCTTCTCCCGAGGAGCAGCTAGTGGCCTAGAGCCATGTGCCTTCAGTATTACATCACAGCTTCTTGCCACCAGTAGGTAAAATAAATTCATTTCACTTGTTTCTTTTTCTATTTTATAAAGATTTGGCTACTATGAAATTTTAAATTTTTAATATAGCTCACATATTTTTAGTGGCTAGCACTGTTTCAGAAACTTCAATTCTTTATTTTTCTTCAATTAATTCTTAAATTGATAAAAAAGTCAGAATAACATATCAAAGCTTCCCACTGCCCTAAGAAATTAGCAGACCTTTGAGAATCATAACTCTTTATCATGTCTAAATGATTTTTCTGCTTCTTTAAACCAATTACTTCTACTCCAATGCTTTATTCTCAATGTTTCAATTGGTTCTTTTCTGACTGTTGATCTATCTTCATGTTGTTCCTTGTCATCCTCTGGCTCTTCAGTTTCTTTCATATACTCCATAGCCTTCCCAGTGGGACGTTGAGATGATGCAGCATCCATCATACTCAGAAAATCATAAGCAGGAAGAGGAGGTTTCCATTCCTCAGCTGGTAAAACTTCTAGAAGGAAGACAGAATCAAAGGCAAATATCAGCAGTTATCATATGAATATATGAGAAAATATATCCATATTATATTTTGAAAGAGGACAATATTTGTAGGAATGAGTAACTGTCACTTAACTAAACAAAACAGGAGCTGTGGTGGTGACATGCATGATGTGTTGGGCTGTTGGGCTGCTTACCAGAGACCAGTGGTGTGAGTGGTAGCTGGTAAGCTGCTCTGTGGGAGAGACAGGCAGTTTTCTCCAAGTAAGATTTACAGCCTTGGAAGCTCAGTGGAATCAACTTGACAGCAGTGAGTTTGGTTTTGTTTTGCTGCAAACCTAGATTATTTCAACTACTGTCAAAAAGGAACTTGATATATCTACTGTTTCTCTTAATCCGAAATAGAGTAAGTCTTTCTTAAAAATCTTTGTAGGTTTTTTCACGCAGGCAGCTGACATGCCATCAAGACTGAGGAAGAGCTGGAAACTTAGGGGCCACATGAGCCACTGTCACACTGGAAAGCAACAGAAGCACACTGGAGGCTGAGATAATGCAGGAGGCTTGCACCACAACAGGATCAACTTTCACAAATACCATCCAGGTTATTTTGGAAAGGGTGGTATGAGACATCACCACCTGGAAAAGAATCAGAGCTTCTGCCCAAGTGTCAAGGTGACAAATTATGGATGCTTACCAGTGGGCAGACAAAAACAAGACTGGTGCTGCTCCCCTCACAGATGTGGTTCAATCAGTTACTACTAAGTTTGGGGGAAGTGAAAGGTCCCAAAGCAACCAGTCATTGTGTAGCCCAAAGACTTCAGCAGAAGAGCTAAGGAGATTAATGGTGTTGGAGGTGGGGTGGGGGAGTTGCTGTGTCCTGGTGGCTTCAGGTTCCATTACATGGAGGTTGGTTAATTAAAAGTTTTATGTAGAGCAGCTGGTGAATTGGAATCATTTGTCTTTCGATTGGTAGAGCAGCTCCTTACTACTAGTCACCAGATCTTTACATATTGTTCTGTTGTGTACAACTGAGTTGGAACCAACCCATAGTTAACCCCCAAGACGCCTTCCGCCCCCGTAGGTTTTCAGAGGCAATTAATCATAAAAATATATATAATCATTCCAGCAAGATTGTTTTGGAGCAGATATTATTTATTACTTGTTATTTAGAGATTTATTTTCTTACATTTAAGAACATACTATGTTCCACAAAGACTTTTCTAAATCCTACTTTGATGAATGGTGAAAAGGAGTTAAAAGTTTGTGAATATTCTTGGTGTTTATTGTTTTCCTTTAGCATTGTGGCTGTCTTCACTCTATGACAACCATAATCAATAGATTTCTTTGGTCTAGACTATCACTATCCCCCAGTAAGCTTCATTTGCTCTTAAACAAAAAAAAAGGCAACAACTCGGAAAGCAGAAAGGAATGGAGAAGGATAGAAAGATGAATGGGAAACAGGAAACACAGAAAGGAAATACAGAGAGTGCTGCCACAGTGTGGGGTCTGTAATCAATAATCAGTATCATGAACCACCACATGCATGAACTGCTTAATGAAAAAAGAGCTGTTAACTTTTATTCAAATCACATAAAAAGTTAATGTTAAAACTTCTAGTTTTGAAGAATTTCATTAACATCCTTTCATATATTTCATGTAATTAAAATTATTTTCTAAAAATTATAGACAAGGAATAATTACAAATAATTAAAAATGCTACAGGATCAATAGATCAAAATTAGAATATTCTCCTTAAATTAACTTCACAGAAGTGAATCCTAATGTTATTTAAAGACAGTGATCATTACACCTAGAAAATAGATTAAAGCTAATTGTTGCAGTTGTGTGCCACCGAGTTGGAATCAACCCATAGCTGAACCTCCAGAGGGTTTTCAGAGGCAGTTAATCACACTGGAGAAGACATCCACCCTTTCAAGAATGATGTCCTTCTCCAAAGACTGATCTCTCCTGGCCATGTGCCCAAAGTATGTGAGAGAGAGCTTCAAAATTCTAGCCTCCAAGGAAACACTTGGTTTCATCCCCTCTCCAAGACAAATCTATTAGTTTTCTTGGTAATCCATGGTATGTTCAAAACTCTTCTCCAGCATCACAGTTTGAAGGCATTGATGACTCTTCTGTCATCCTTAATCATCTTCCAAATCTCTGAAGCATAACAATTGCAAAAAATAA